CTGACACCATTGGAACCCGAACTGGGGTTGGTATTTTGTCGAGGTATGTGTGTACCAACTGAACTGGGGCAGTTGGTTAGGTTTGGGCTCGTTTCTTTGGTTTAGGGTTTGCAATGAAATTTTCTTGTTCTTCTATTCAGTAGTTATGTAGACACACAGTCTGTGTACTCTGTCTGTAAAGAAAGGCAGTGGGGACAGCTGAGTCAGTCAGCTTGCCCCTCCTACCGTCTTCACCCGAATACAATGCCCAGCCATTATGACTGTATTTGGGGCAACTTTCCTTGCAGATACAGCGATAATTTTCGGCCGTTGTATTTGGGTGAAGACTGTAGTTGGTTGGCGGGAATGCCTTTGTCGAAGTTTGTCCCTTCCATCCATCGCTGGAAAGTTAGGCTCAACCCTGAGGGGATAGGTTCAACCCATAACCCTTAGTGTAGCCGGTTTGTGATCCATAAATGAAGAGTGTATCAGTCCAGGCTAGGTAGGTAGGTGGGTGGGTAGGTAGGTAGTGGGAACGGAGGCATCTCGAGAGAAGAATATAGGTTAGTCTGAAAAAAAAAGAGACGAAAAAAAAGAAAGTCAGTGGCAAAGTTTACTTTACGGGCATATATATTTTTTTCTGCTGAGTTTTGGTTCAAATGTAGACTTTTTTTAGGCTATGGCGTCTTCCACTCTGGAAAGCATCAATCCTGTTTCTTCTTCTTCTTTTTTTTTTTCTTTGAGTTTCTTTCCTTTCCCAAACACTGGGCCGATAGGACCCAAAAAATATAAAAACAAAAAGAAAAAAAACACAAGGTGTAACTGCTTGGGAATGCTGAGGGAAGTGAGGGAAAGGCTATCGGGCTGGGGACCTTGTTACGCCCAGGGATTGCACGTGAGAGCCTTTTGATGATAGTCTTGTTGTGCGCAAAGACGTCGAGGAGATATTTTTCACAAGTAGCAACTGAGGGCTAAAAAAAAAATGAACTGTTGGATATTCTTTGGTGGGGCCTTGTCTGAATGGACACTGGCTGGGTGATGTGCCCGATAAAGCGACCTCTGCGGCTGGCCTCCCATCTCTGTTTGACCCAGGTGTGCAGCCGTCTATGTGAGTGGGCTTTTAGTCTGACTGGGCTGGAGATCTGTTTTGTGCTGCTCCTGTTATAATGTCACGTTTTGGCAAATGTGTGGGCTTGTGTGGGCTTGTGTGTTGCGGTACGACCCAGGCGTGTGGCCATCTATGTATTTGGGCATGGGTAGGCTGGAAATCTGTTTTGTGCTGCTGCTGCTGGTCTAATCTTATGTTTCTGTCAAATGTGTGGGCTCGTTTGCTGCGGTACAGGCCACGGCTGGTGGGGGAGGACGTGGGATGCGACTTGCGCTCGAACCTGAGGGTTTTGTTAAGCTCCTGCAGGTATGCCTATCTGTCCTCTTTAGCACTCCCAGACATGGCATCTGACATCCTATTAGTGGGGTGTCAGTATTAATTACCACTTGGGGCTGTCAGTGGTAATTGGGAGTCGCAAGACTCCAAAAAAAAAAGGTTTTCTGACAGATGGGCAGTGACGATAGTTCCCATGATTATTTCGGTGAAGGACTAAGTAGCAATTCCCTGTTTTGTTAACCCTGCGTAGCATTGTCTTCACGTTCGATGTCGGAAGCCGAACGTTCGCGACCGAACGGGAATCAGCGGTGTTACCCTGCGTAGCATTGTCTTCGCGTTCGATGACGGAAGCCGAACGTTCGCAAACGAATGGGAATGAGTGGCAAAACCCTCCGAATGCGAACCAAAACAAAAAAAAAAAAAAAAGAAGTTGTCAGAAAGATCTGAAAAGCCAAACGGGAATGAGTGGCAAAACCCTCCAAATGTGAACCAAAAAAAAAAGAAAAAAAAAAAAGGAAGTTGGCAGAAAGATCTGAAAAGAATATATGTTATGTAAAAGTATAATACAGACAACTTTTGCCTGGGAGGGATGTTCGAATTCTGAGCCAAACAAGAGTTAATAATGAAAAACCTATAAAAAAAAGCCGAACGTGTGTGGGTGTTCGCGTTCGAGCGTTTGCGAACGTGTTCGGTGTGCTACACAGGTTTTGCCTGGGACGCGTTTGGCCGAACACCCTAACGTGTTTGGGCGTTCGTGAAAAAGCCCTGAACACGTTCGGTGTGCTACACAGGTTTTGCCTTTCTTCCCCCTGGTTGGTTTACTTTCATTTGTTTGTCGTTTGTTGTTTGGTTTGATGTCCTTGCTTTTTCTTCCCCCTGGTTGTTTTTTTTTGGTCTAGTTTGATTTCTTTGCCTATCTTTCCGGGCCTGTGGTTGGTTTTGTCTTTTTTCTTTTTTTTAGGGTTTGGTAACTTGGTTTGATTTCTTCTTGGGGTAGGACTGGTTGATTCACATTTGAAGAGACGTTGACTCCTGTCGAGTTTCATGGCTTCCCGCTTTTCAGGGCATTGGATTGAAGTGCGCCTGTGTGTGCCCCCTTGATTCTTGATTGAGCATTTCGAGATTTGAACCTGGAATCTTACCGGGGATTGAAGTCTTGTATAAGAGACTTGGTGCTTGTTGAGCCTTGATCCCACAACCTGCACCTCCACAAACTCATAGCGAAGCACTTGGTAGCATTTGTAGGCAGGCTTTCAAAGGCCAGGCCAGAACGGTACAAGTATCCAAGGCCAAGTAACAAAAGTCTTGTGGGGGAGCTGAATAGTCATTATGGAGTGCTGAAGCTGGAGGGCATTCGTTAAGCAGGACAGCGCTGTTTGACCTAGGAAAATGAGAAGAGAGAGAGAGAGAGAGAGAGAGAGAGAGAGCTGTCTCTTATACACATCTAGATGTGTATAAGAGACAGGTTTGACTGATATCTCTTCCTCTTCATAGCTCTTCCTCTCTTCATAGCTCTTCCTCTTCCCTTATCCTCTGTCTGACCGGATCCCTTTCTCTTTT